TTTGCCGAGCGGCAGGGGAGGGCTGGAGCGCTTGTACTTTGGCAATAAGTAGTACTTGCATCACTCCTTCAAGTGATGGGAATTTGCATACAAATCGATACGAGCGTGTTGCGACATGCCAAATGAAGAGCCCGCCGTGCCAATGAAGCGAGATATTGTCCCCAGAGTTAGCGCAGTGGCAAGGAGACGGCAGGCAGCAGGGCTTTACAAATGCTTGCGATGCGCTTCCCTGCGCGGTGTTTGTTAAGAGTTGCTGCAATGTTCGACAGTACGTGTCCATCGGTGAGCCAGTCTGTCAGTCGCAGCACTTTACCTCGGTTGTTTTTGTTGTACGGAGCCGAGTCGGGGGCTCGTTTGGACCAGAATAAACCTATGACCTTTGACCCGAGGTAAAACAAAATGTTGGCAAACATTTTCCCCATGTGAACCTGCAGTCGAGGTGGAGGACATCGTTGAGGTCACTCATGCCATGCGTTTTTATGATGTGTAGTTAGAAGAGGATTCGTCTCATTAATTGGACTGCCTGGTTACAGGCTTGTCTTTGGAGCCATCAAGTTTAAGGTAGATGTCAAAAATATCAGTGTCTCCTTGCTCAAATGAGCAATGGGTCAGCACTCATCTCTGTGGGAAGCGCTAAGGCATTGGCGGGAATTCCACATTCCCATGGTGGCGGCCTTTCTCTCCAAAGAATGACAACTTTCGACTTGCCATTGGAATGGTACCGACTATCGACCCTTGGCAGCACGATCGGCTGAGTCAACCCATGACCGTAATTTGTAGTCGCAACTTTCCTATTGTGAGTCAAGCACCCTCACTGCTGCGCACCGCCAGCAATCCAGATGTGCAACTCATGTGAAACTAAATCTGAATCCCACAGCACTGGGAAGAGCCTTGTAGTCTAAATAATGGGTTTTAGATTTCAATGCAGTTGTGTTGTAACCCTGAACCCTGTTTACGTTTATGTATTTACATTTATTTGGCAGTGTTGTTGAGCAGGAGTGCCCAGAGCCTGCATTGTCACGTGTTACACCAGTCCACTGCCACGCTCTATCTAAATAAAGCTTTGCCGATGGTATGCATGACAAATCTCGTGGTGGGAACCTTTGTCAGGTGTAATCAGGGTGTTGGTTGATCTTTGGGGGGTAATAATAGATTGCATTTCCATTTTAGCATCTTTTACGATGGCCTGTTGGTCAGCACTGTGCTTTCGTGAAGAGGCTGGTGCGTTGACCTGCACGATGCCTTCACTCGGGGCCCAGCAAGAGCAAGAATAATTTTTTGCCGGTTAAAAGAACATTTCCTTTCGGGACCACACTTCCCTTTGCTTGGTCGCGGCAAGGGCCGGTGATGATTAACGTAGCGTGACTCGTAGGTGCCCCTCGTCACGCAGCGGGCGATCAAATGTAGAACGTCAACAACAGTGGTTGTCCGAATGTCAAATTAAAAAAACTTCACTTTGCGTATGTTGAACTTTCTTTCGCAGCGCGCGTAGCCAAGCGTGCTAATCGGAGGTGCGGGGGAAGGCCAACAAACTAAACACGACAAACTGTTCTCAAGAAGTTAGTTTTCAATCTCGATTTAAAAGTGCACAGCTCCCAGTGCCTTCCTAATATCGGAAGGAAGAGTGTTCCAGACGGCCACAGAAGTGCATCTGACCACCCACCACCACAACATAGGAACGTGGAATTTCCACCACTGTTTTTTTTTGGCTACCAATTGAGATGGCCACAATTTATTCTGTGGCTGTAATTGTAAAAGCTCATCACATTGTTAAACGTGTTAGAGCCAGGGTTGGGATGTTTCCCCGTGAGGGCTGTGGATTTGCAAGCCCAGGCAGAAACGATCACGAGACCTTCAGCTACGTGCAGTGGGGGGGGGGGGGTCCCCTTGTTATTCCTCCGTAATGCTTCTCTGACTCTCGCACCTTCTGTGAGTGAACAAAAAATAAAACCTACAACTCACTTCATGATTAATTACTACCGCGCACACAGAAGTGAACACGGAGCGGAACACAATTGTCTGCCTTGCTGAATGCGACACGGGCACATCGTGTTTGTTGGTGAAGTTGTACCGGTTGCTTGGGCACAGTGTGTGCCGTGTGGACGTCGTTTTCAGAAGCAACAAAAGGGGGGAGAGGACGAGTCGTTTTGGAGAGTGAAAAGAGCCAATCAGATCGTCCTCGTTGATCGTGGGCAAAAGCGGACTCCCTTCTCGGTGTCCCCTTCAAAGGCAGTGGCACAACACAAGTGGATTTGTCCTACTCATTGGTTTTTTTCGGTAAAGTGACGTATGTAGAAATGCTATAAAATTATACTAAAATAAATCAATCACGACGTTTCGACCGCAACACAAGCGATCTTCATCAGGTGTAAAAAACAAATAGCACATAGGGTGACGTCAACGCAACACATAGAGTGTTAAACAGCATGGAGGTAAATACAACAAGAATATGAGAGACGAGAATTCAATAAACCTTAGAAAAAATTAGGTGATGCAAAACCAGTCAGGCCAACAACACAGTTATACACTTGCCTGGCGGACCACAAATTTCAGAAAAGTGCTAAATTTTGTGTTCATCCTCTGGGTTGAACATACCAGCATAGACAGCGTGAACAAATACGAGGTACAAGGCAGCAGAAAAACATATACAGCGACACAAGAGGTAAGAAGAGGAAAGACGGACAGAGAAGCAAGAAAAAGGGCTGGAGGGATGAACAGACAGAGGCTTAAAATAAGCAGTAGAGGTGGGGGGAGGGGCCGCTCTCTATGTGTTGCGTTGATGTCACCCCATATGCTCCCTCGCTATTTGTTTTTTACACCTGATGAAGATCGCTTGTGTTGCGGTCGAAACGTCGTGATTGATTTATTTTAATATAATTTTATGGTATTTCTACATACGTGACTTGACCGAAAAAAACAATGAGTAATTTATGCAGTCACGAAAGCTTTAATTCTGAATTTGTCCTATTTTTCCCGGGAAGGCCAAGTGGGCTCTGGTTTATGCGACGATCAACAAACTCCTCCAGGTATCAGGAACCTGGTCACGTTTTGGGAAGCTTAACTTGTTCTTTTTTTTTCTACCATAATACAATTATCCAGTTGTACGAGACTGAAAGAGGAACCAAGAATAAACACAGATTAAATATCACATTGACTGTTAAGACAAGTTGAGTGGATTTGGGTAGGACACGTCACTAAAGTGGATGATCTCTTGGTAGGCGAGATTGGTGATGGAATGAAATCCAAAGGGAAAGAAGGAAATGCGCCCCAATAGCACGACCGCACGCAGAGATGGAGCGATTGTTTTGGTTCTGTTCATGCGCCGGAGTGAGATGGATTGTGGCACCGTGGGACCGTGAGGGATGGTGACGACCTGGCAAGGGGATTAATCCACCAGCAGACCGATCACGGTTAATGATTGCGATGCTGCGAGCAGTTACACGGCAGTGTTGGTTCATGACAAGGGTGACAATTTAAGAAGATGCGGCCTTCTTCGTCCGCCTTCACAGCCGTCGAGACACCCACAGCCTCCTCCGCCCGCTCCGCCGTTGAGGACTTCTCGGATCGCTCTTAGCCTGGAACATCCCCTTTGACCTTGACGCCCATGGGTGACCGACGCCTTCGCTCTCGGGATCGTTGGAACACAAACACTTCGCGATACGGCGGCGGATCCTCGGGAGAGGGATAGGAAAATTGTCACAGAGTTTGGATTGAGCGCCACCGCCGAGGAAGTGCTTTGCACAATGTCGAGCTGGTGGCATTAGTCTGCCACCTTGTGGATTCTTTTATTTATACGGTCACACCAGCAACGTAAAATCTACCTTTCCTAATTTTCTGTGCCGGAGCAGTAGGACAGTCGTGTGCTTGAACGCATGTTGTGATGTTGACGCCGTGTTGTGTGCACTCTTAAATCCTGCGAGAATGAATGAAAGTGTTGTTGCTATCGCTCGTCACTTGCGCTGTAAAGAAGCATTTTATATGACGCTCCACGGGATTCCATTATGAATACATTCATTTATCGTAAAAAGTAGTGAATTTACTTTATCTACTTTCTAAGCAACGATAAAGGAAATGTCACAAACCTGCTTTTAATTTACTATTTGGTTTATTCGTACAGCGGTCACTGAGATGCTCCGAACATTGCCATTAGAACACCATTACATTGCCCACCACTCGGGCAACTCGGCCAATGCATTTTTTTGCATCCATTTAATATACAGTTCCACATGCAGGTGTGTGGGGCCTTCAATCCCCCTCGCCCCCTCCCCCGCAGGGAGGGTGCCGGGGATCGAGCACCCACCCACGTGACCTTCCCCCGAGGGATAAAGGAAATGTCACGAAAGCAACGTTTTAATTTACAATTCGTTTTATTTCGTGCCATTGGCTAATTCAGGCTGAGTGAACTTTGCGGACACGTCGCACAGCTCGGTTAAACCTGTGGTTAAATCAACCTTATGCTAATTTGGGAGAAAAAAAATCACGAACGTGATTGAGCAATAAAATTACACTACTTTGAAAATGCCAAATTCATGAGTTCTAAGACCTCGAGTAGCGTGATACCCTTCTTATCCGTGGCTGTGTAGGGGCTGTCACGGGGTGAAATATCCTCTCGGTGGAAATTACCGCTATCTCGCTTGTGCGGCTTTTCATAGATCAACACGGACAAGAGGAGTAATTGGGTGCCATTTCCATCCTGCTGTCTCTTTCCCTTGAAGAGTCACAAATCCGGTGCCCCCAAGAAACCGCCAGTGGCGACGGATAAACGGGGATAATCGGTAAAAACATTTCCAGCACTGTCGAGTGACTGCTATTATCCTCGGATAATTATCAGAAGAGCCGATATTCAGGCACCTGGATAGGCAGAGTTGTCAGCGTAATTGATGGCAAGAAAACGGATAATATCTCAACATTGCCCCTCCGAAGCGCTGCCTCCCGTGCCGACCCGCTTCTCATCTCTCCCCCTCAACCCCTGTCCCCCTCGCCCCTATTTCCCGTGGCAGCCATGGAGAGCCGAGGGCGGCTGCGAGCGTTCACGCGGCCCAGCGTCAGCAACTACTCGACGCTGCTGCTGTCGGAGCAGGGGGACGTGTTGTACGTCGGGGCACGCGACGCCGTCTTCTCGCTCAACCCAAGCAACATCTCCGAGGAGACGCACAGTCGGGTGAGCTTCTTGTCTTCCGTGGCGTCTAAAATGCAACCGCATCCCCGGACGCGCTGCTCAAGAACATTGGGCACCTCCGATTTAGCACGGTCGGCTACGCACGGTGCGAAAGAAGTTGAGTATACGTGCGTGTTTGCTGACTTCATAGAGAGAATAGAAGAGGCAGTCGCTCGTAAGCAGAGAGGAGCTTGGACTTGGATCAGCGACAGGAAGTCGACAGCACGGGCGGCTGGGGAAAGCCTCCCCAGTACCATCAACTGCACCCAATTCAAAGTGTGCAGTTATGGGCCTTGGCACCCTTGTGTGATGCAGGACGATCCTGTTGCTGTGTCTCCAATGAGAAAGGAGAGAAAAACTTGAATAATTGGAATGAAAATGTCTACTCTTCGTTGAGCAACTTATTGTTTCCAAATGCAATTGTTTCTTTACCAACCACCGTTGCTTTCGTGTGCTGTGATTTGCACGTTGTTTTTTGCTTACAGCAGCAGCTTGATTGCAATTGAATTGAGCAGCGTAGCAGAAGCCGTCCGTGCGTTCGTGTCGAACATCGACGTTATTCGCATTGTGTGTGACGTGCGGGCACCATGGGCCAAAGATAGCCGGGGCCACGTTTCCCAATGTGCACCTCACACACGCACAATCATGACATCAGCTATTTCGCAACGAAGCTTTCATTTGAAGTCAATATTTTCGCGCTAGATATAACTTGCACATTGTTTTTCCCCCCTTTTTCAGTCGCTGGCATTTATGCACTTTGTACGATTCAATCATGACTAAGCTGCTCCAGCTCGGTGGATTCAGTGATTTCATTCAAAACAATTAGGCCCGAGTTAGGGCACCGTGGCAAATATTTACCCATGTCACATTAATCATCACATGTTCTTGCAGTTGCTTAAAGTTTGACAGAATTCCTTTTAAGAATAAAAAAGGGAGCGGTTTTGTTTATTGGCTCTTAACTTGCATAAACGTAAATGCACAATAGTGGAAATACAGCAGGTGTGGAAGCCATGATTTTAAATATTATTTATTTTGTAAAATTGTGGTACGGTTTTATATGACATACTAGTTTGCGTAGTTTAATTATGGATTAATATTGTGTAACCTCATAATTATGTATGCACTGCATGTTTTCTATGCTTATGTGAGCATAACTTATATTAATCATATTATAATAACACATTTTATATTTACTGTGCTGTGTGTACATATGCATTCCTATGTGTATACACATACACACCGCGCAATGTGCATACCAGGATGATACTGCAGTGTATTGTTTACAGTTTATTAAATACAATAGACTGTACAAATTTTGATGATGAACTATTAAAACGCACATCAATGTAACAATGCAAGTCCCAATTGCATTGCATACACTGTTGTATAATAGACTAGTTGGATTGCCTTTGGAAATAAATGTTGTACGTCAAAAATTAAGAACTGTAGCTTCTCACATACCAAAAAATCTCTGTATTGAATTAGAATCTTTATTTATCTTGGAGGAATCTGATGAGCTATGAAGCTCTTTTTTCCCATATGTCGAGTACTGAAACCTTCTTACAGTCTCACATGAGCAGAGAGAACGTGCAGCGCGTGCACAATTATAAGGTCACACTTTATGTGTGCGGAAATGTGATAGCTGCGAGAGACGTGGATGAGTGACCGTTGCTTTGTCGTTGGCCAGGTCGACTGGGATGCGTCATCCAAGCAGCAAGAGTGTGTGATGAAGGGCAGAAGTGAAACGGTGAGATCGCATGACGCAACGCTCATAGTCACATACGTGACTAAAGGGGAAAACACATTCTGGATTTTTGCGGCCACTGAAAAGCGAACCAGCTCGGTTCATGAACTGGGCTACCGGGCCCAGCTGCCTGCCTTCCCACAGCAGCCTAATCGTGGCCACCCAGCACGAGGTGGCCTCAGTAGGTTGTGGGTCATGTGGCCTGTGGCCTCCTTTCATCATTCCATGCAGGCCGACTTCTGAACCGTTCGTGGCGTTGGGAGGCTCACGGTGGAAATGAGACACAACGGTCAACGGCGTCGCTCACATTTGAGGGCCTCGTTTGTTTAAACACACTCGTTGGGAAGTGTAAACAATAATAGGTGTTTCCTTGGTATGGAATTGGCTGAAGGCTTTTTTTTATTTTATGATCTCTCAATATGGCCATGGGAGGCCGGGGGTACTGAACAGAATGGGCCAAGTACTCAGAGCCGCAGTTCACAAAGTTTGGAAACAAGATCCAGTTCGTGGCAGCACAGCCCATGGCCATTCCTGGGACACCAAACCTGCTCGGCTGTGTTCTTAAAAATGTTGTTACGATCTGGCCCCGTGACACTGACAGTGCGTTCTACTGTGACAGTCGTCACAAGTTCAATTTCTTAACCAGGGGTTAGATCCGGCCTAATCATGCATTCAGGTGCGATAAAATGAGTACAATTTGTGAGAGTCAAAGTGTTTGTCCTTTAGAGAGACTGGTCTCAGTGGTCAGAATATGGAATTTCCATCACTGGCTTAAGGGCTGCCAATAAAGATAAAAAATGGCCCATTGCCCATTGGAGTGGGGAGGGACTTTGACCAAAGTATTGATTAATTTGGTTAACAATGTTATTCCATTCTCACTGCACACACCAACTTTTATTTGTGTGTGTGTTCACGCATTTTTAAACCAGGTGAATAGATTTAATGACTTCTGCTGGTGATGAATGATGTTGACACACGTGGAGTTGCTGATCAGCCTCACGAATATTTTGCTGAAATCAAGATATTTTCTGCTTCAACTAATTCCTATAATTAGTACATAAAATGAGGGGTGTTTAAATCTGTGAGGTGAGAGAAAGCTCAATCCTGTGGTGTTATTATGAGCTTGGTAGGTTAATGTTTAACAGCGACATTGGCTTTAAATGCCGTGCAACAATTATTTTCTCCCCTTGCCATCATTGGTTTGGCTGCAGGCCATGGCATCAGCAGGTGACCCTCCACCCAATTTGGCACTGGGTCAACAAGCGAAAATATTCCGGCTAAAAAAATATACAATTTGGAAAAATTAAGTCTGCAAGACCAGTAGGCCATTAAATGAAACATTTATTTTCCTGAATTAATTTTACCTAAATCAGATTTCCGCTCACGGCCACCAACACCAGTGACGATTATCAGAATCGGTTCTGGTCCTGCCCTAGGTCGACTTGGCCTCAAATGAGTGCCTATTATGATGGTCTGAGATGATGGCGGTGGTCGGGCGTCGTGCTGGCCACCACCCCCTGACCCCGTGCGCCATGCTGGCCTTAATAGGTGCTCGCTAACAGCACTTGCCTTAACAGTTTGTTAATAGGCTATACGAGGGATCTTTGTCTGTGTGTGTGTGTGCGTCTACAGATGGAGTGCTTCAACTTCATCCGGGTGCTCGTCGAGCTTAACGAGACGCACCTCTTTGTATGTGGGACGTACGCCTTCCATCCAATGTGTGCCTACATTGTAAGGCTTCTGCACAACGCGTGGCATTCACAATTAAATCAGAATCTCTATTTAGACTGCAGGAGGAATCTGATGAGCTATAAAGCACTTTTTTCACAGATGTCCAGTAGGGGGCGGATCAGAAAGTTACAACAAAAAATACAAAAACACGACGGGAGCGCAAAATATAGGAAAGGTAAACAAATCACGAAAATAGTTTAAATAAACTTGTTTTTTTTATTATTAGATAAAGACCACTGAGCTATTAGCTTCTTTATCAGACGTGACCTAGTGTCGGTCACGTGGGCGTTGTTTGACCATACTTCACCACGCTGGTCAGTACGGGTTGAATGAAGTCGTCAAAAAGCCCGTGACCGGTTCAGATATTGCTCACCGCTTGACACGCTCACACCTGCACGATTGCCATCCATCGCAAACCAGAAATGGCATTTAAATCCGAGACGATAACCAGGAGCCCCTTCACTCGCAGGAGAAGGAGAACTTCACCCTGGTGACGACGACTCAAGGCGAGGTCCTGACGGAGGATGGGCGGGGGCGTTCCCCGTACAACCCCACGCAGGCATACACGGCCACGCTCGCTGGTACCAGCCGCCCCCTCCCCCACCCTCCACCTCCCCCCCCGCCCTGCTACCCCGCAGCCGCAACCACGGCAGCCACTCCATCGTGTCGCGGTCCTGCCCCTCAACCTCATCGGCTTGGTTCGCTGAGCCGTCGCACACTCTAATTCCACTGAGAGTGTTTGCGAAAGACAACTGATGTGTTTTTAACGACTTTTTATTAACGCGGTTATTTATTATGGTGGGATGGATTAACACCTTCAGGGATCGGCATGTTTACTGCCGAGGCAGCTTGAGTGGCAGCTGCAGAAAGGTCGATATTTCGATTTTGATTCTGGCACCTTACCAGTTTGAGTAGAGGATTACCAAAGCGAAGCTTCTGCTGTGAAGTTGACTTTAATGGCCATGTGCCCTGTGATTTCATTCATAGGACACAAAGTGTTTGTGTTTCAGTGTAAATCCACATCCAGAATTTAAAAAAATCACCCATAAATAAATTGTAATATTTTCAAAGATGCCCTATTCTCTGTTGTCACCAGACCGCTTCTGAGAAAGTAAGTTCAACTTTCTTCTCATCCAGTAACATTGCTCTTTAATAATAATTAACATCCATTTTCAATCCACTTCTGGATTAAGTCCTCACAACAATATATCATTCATCAGGTTCTTGAAAATAGGGTGCCAAGGATTGGTTTACATATCACGTGATATTAGCCATAGCCAGGAGTCGAACTCAGACATTTGGTTCATAGCACAGCGTGCAAACCACTGCGCCACTACTCTATATAATTCACATAATTCATACGAATATAATGTAACATATAATTAATTGAAATAAGTCTATGTTGTGCTCCACACCAAATATCAAGAATGACAGGATATTACAAAGCGCACCGTATTATTAGAATGAACGAAGGAGCGAGCAAATGGTGCCCTCCTGTATACTGTGCGGCACTGTGACCTCGTTTTCTCTTCTTCTCCTTGCAACAGATGGGGAGCTGTACTCGGCCATGATGAAAAACTTCCTGGGCACGGAGCCTGTGATTCAGCGCAGCCTGGGCAGCCGGCCTGCCATGAAGTCCGACCTGCTGGTGTCCTGGCTCTACGGTGGGACAGCGCTCGCACTGCCACTCTCGCCAGGGCCTCTGAAATGTTTTTGGAGGCCCGAGGCAAACAAAAAACGCCAGACGAAGCCCTCCCCCCTCTGCGGCACACTCAGCCCTTTCCTGAGACACCCTTGGATCTGTGGCCCAGGGCAAACTGACCCACCTGCCTGCTTCCCCCACCCCCTCTCTGTGGCCCTGACTCTTAACTTAGAGCCACGGCACCAAGTGTTTCTCACAAAGACTTCTGAAATCTTCTCCGATTTTTATCCGCGTAACATTATATTACGTTGGTGGAATTACACGGCGAGACCTCGCTGCTTTATAGGGACTCGGACGGTAGTTTGGATCTCAGGATGGAGTGGATAATCCACAGATGTGTCATCTCTACTTTATTTTATGGAAAATAAGTGGGGGGTGAAAATGTACAAGGTGTGAAATTGAGCATAATGGAAGAGTGCAATGGCCAGCCGAGCTATAGGAGTCAGCTGAGCTTTAAGGACAAACCCACAGGCTCTCACTGCTTTTATACATTTTGCATAATTGTAGAATATCGTTCTTCTTAAAATGTCTGCTTCAAGGCAGGTCCATGGCAAGCTCCCTTCCTTCATCCCATCTGATCCCACTCCCACGTCTCCCACCTCGCCGCACCGTGCTACGTGCCAGGGTTCTTGAACCTGAATTAGAGAAACTTTATTGAGGTGGTTGCCTCCAACAATCGCCATATGCAGTTTTAACGCCATACCCAGCAGAATGAATACCACCGGCTCCCAAACCGTTCAGTTATCACAGCCAATTTCCACGTGATCTTGGGCAACCACCATTAATAGCACATGCGTTATGCGGAAGAAGCCACCAATTCTTCTTCACTGATAACAAGGATACATTATGAATATATATTTAAACTGTTGCACTGAGAGAGTGATGGTACAGTGACCAAAAATACGGTTTCACTTGTGGAAGTGTGCAAAGGTGCCACGGCAATGCAATTCGCTTATCGGGTGACAGTTGGTGGGGGGCCCTTGCTGACGCGTTGACATGGGCCGTTTGTTTTTTTGTTGCGCCTGCAGAGCCGAGGTTCGTGGGGTCGGAGTTTGTGCAGGAGGATCCCGAGGGCGACGAGGATGACAAGGTGTACCTCTTCTTCACGGAGACGGCGCGGGAGTTTGAGTTCTACAGCAAGGTGGTGGTGTCACGCATCGCCCGCGTCTGCAAGGTACTTTGCTCCTCGTCGCCGTGCTCGGCGCTCGCACCTCAGAATCTGAATCTTTATTGAGACTGGAGGAATCGGATGAGCTATGAAGCTCTCTTTCACAGATGTCCAGTAGGGGTGGGTAAGAAAGTTACAATGACAATACAAAAAAACGATGGCAGTACAAAGTACAGGAAAGGTAAGCAAGCCACGAGAGAAGAAACAAATGAAGTATATAAGTTTCAAATATATATATAAGTACCTCACCGCTGTATATGGGACTCGAGCTACTAACCATTATGAGGACCAAGTTGCGTGTGTAAATCCGGAGACTTGGTAACAATTAACGATACGATGGGAGTAAGTGGCAATGGGGGGTGGGGGTGCCAATATTAAGCAGCCAAAAGGGTTCCTGTTAATGGAGGGCAGAACGTATTGCTTGGTGCGTGGGCCGTGGTCGTGATTAATGACAGAGTGGCAGCCAAAGGACGGAGAGCATTGCCCCTCAGCTGCACGTTGACAGAGCGAACTAGAAGCTATTTTTTACTTGACCAGGTTAGGGCCGCTAAGCTATTGGCTCTTGTTCAGAAGCGACCTGGCTACAAATGATAGCTCGATGAAGTGGCTTGTCACGTGGACATTAATTGCTGCCAAATACTCCAGACGCATGTTGATTTTAAATGTGGAGGGAAAAACCGGAGCACCCGGAGAAAAATCCACATGACCCCGGGAAGAACATGAAAACTCGAAAATAAACAGGCGTCAGGGTCGGGATCGAACCCATAACCTCATGCATACAAGGGGAGGGAGTTAATGTCTCGCCACCACGGCACCCCAGAGAGTTGCATCATGAGTTGCCCGTGATTCGGGGGGGGGGGGGGGTGGGAGGGGGTTGATGAGACGCTCACCGGCTTGCCGTGTTTGCAGGGAGACATGGGAGGCACGCGCATGCTACAGCGCATGTGGACATCGTTCCAGAAGGCGCAGCTTGAGTGCTCGCTCCCCGAGCGCAACATCCACTTCAACCTCATCCAGGACGTGTTCACGCTGCGCACGGCGCCCGGCCAGACGACCTTCTACGCCGTCTTCATCGTCGAAGTGTACGACCCTCACGTTCCCTGCTGGTTCACACTCTCATACTGAGCACGGCAGGGGTGGCCGTGTGGCTCGGGGGAGGGAAAGTGGGGGAGGGGGTCGGAGGAGATTATTACGAGCGAGACGGATCATTGCATTGCAAGGCTGTGAGAGATAGGTGACGGCTGGGGAGGCTTTCAGTGGGTAATATGCGACTTTAGAATAAATGTGTTTCATCGATCGATTGAAATACTGCCACTGCAAGTCAACACCACTGACAGTAACCCAGAACTGCGTGTGTATGCGGCGTCGCCTCCTCCCTTCCTCAGTGGGGGCACGAACGTATCGGCCGTGTGCGCCTACAGCATGGATGACGTGCGGCAGACCTTCCAGGGCCGCTTCAAGGAGCAGAAGGGGCCCGACCAGAGATGGGCCACATTCACGGGGGACATCCCGGAGCCTCGGCCTGGCAGCGTAGGTGCAGCACCACTACCACCACCACCCGCCGCCAATGACAAAACCCATGCGGCCGTGTGGAGGAGTAGATGCTCATCTAGGCCAACCCGTGTTGGTGAAATGTACGGACGGTAAATCGTTAGCGTCGCCCTTCATGAGGTGTTGAATTGTCAGGGTTCAGGATCATGATTATATTCGGCACTGGCTTTGTTTTGCCCCGTGGCGTATGTTGAACTAAGAGTTGTGCAGATCTAGAGAGTGGACCATGGAAGAGTAGGCCAAAGTACCCTGGAACTCCCTCGAGTGGAGGTCCGTCTTCTGTCGGCAAGAAATTGCAGGACTGCACTTTACCTTTCTAGAGTTTATTTACCACCCCCACCAAAACCATGTCGATAGATTTCCATGAATCATGGTGGTGATTTGAATCAGGAAATGATTACGTTCCGTCTGAATATGGTCTGACTTGTCTGTACGGCCTCCAATAACTAATGTATTGCATCAGCATGCCATTTATTTCTCTCCCGCATCTTGTAACATTTTGATTATCACGCCAAACTCTATTACGGGGTTTCCTTATATACAGTACTTGCCTCCTCCCTGTAACGACGACGTCGCCCACCTTTCTCCCCCACCCCACCCTGCAGTGCCTCAGAGGCCAGTCGTCCCTCGACTTGCCGGACCGCACGGTCAGCTTCGCCAGGGACCACCCTCTCGTAGACCAAACGGTGGAGCCCGTGGGCCAGCGGCCCCTCCTGGTGGCGGCGAACGCGCGCTACACGCAGCTCGCCGTGCAGACCGTGCGCTCGCTTGGCGGCGCCGACCACCGCGTCATGTACATGGCCACAGGTGAGCCGCCGCCACTGCCGGAGGGGGGGGGGGCGGGGGGCCACGGTGCTGTTGGCGCCTGCCGGTGGCCTCCGTGGTCAAAGCGCCGGGCTCCGTTGTAGAGGCTTGGTCAGGCGAGGTGCTGCCACCGGCGGTTGGGTGGAAGGGGCCCTGGCAGTGCCGGGCTTTTAATTTAAAAAAAACGATGATATTGTCACGGCGAAATAGTTGCGAGCGTGCGTTTTATGCCGTTGCCTCTTTAAAAAAAGTAATATAATAAACGACAGCACAATTCAAAAGTAATGAGGGAACAAGTGAATATTAGCAAGACTGAACTGTGAGCTCATATTAATGCAGTGCTATATTGTGAAATATAAATAGATATACGTCATTACGTATTTGTATTTAACAAGGCCTATATTTTATTTGAATTGGACCTGTTACATACTCTTATAAAGTGTGTATGATTATGCATCATATCCATACACGTGTAATACTTGTATGCAGTACATGTCTTGCTGGAGTTCCCATGCAAATGGCTGTTAAGAAGAGTTAGCATATTCACCGTGATAGATGCTAAATGCCACATTAAAGGCAGTCGTGACACTGAGAGAGTGTTGGGAGTCTGTTGGTATTCTCTGGTGATGTTCACGATGATCAGTAGGCATATAACAATGGTACGATTCTTCCATTAAGATCGATTCTTACTCTCACGATCCGTGCATCGAACGCATTTAATAATCAATTGTCAGAAAATGTCTCAACTATACAAATGCATTGCTAATATTGTGTAAGAGCTAATGGGACAAACACATTGGAACAGAAAAAGCCAATGAGATTCGTAAATAAAAGAGTCGATTTTTTAATTGAGTCCTAACCCCGGAATCGGAGACAATTCATGGGATTTCCTGGGAGAGTTGAATCATCGTGTTCAATGATTAAGATGTACTTGCTGTAATTTCAGATGCTGGGACTCTACACAAAGCCATAAATATCAACGGAGACATGCATCTGATTGAGGAGATGCAGCTTTTCTCAGAGCCCCAATCAATAAACAGCCTACTTCTTCTGGAAACAAAGGTATACTGCACGTGCATATTTATCTGTGTGTGTGTGTGCGTGTTTTGGGGGGAGCGGTAGTGTAGCAGTTAGCCCACTGCGCTACGAACCCGGCGACCCGCGTTCGATTCTCCCTCATGGCCAACACCGGTGACGATCATCTGAAACGATCCTGTGCCTCCACTAGGTCAACCCGGCCTCAAATTAGTGCCTGGTTCATTGTGTAAACATCACCACTGGGGAGACAAAGGCGGCTGGGCATCGTGCGGACTGCCCAACTCTTCGTGTGCTGCGCCGACCTTCATAGGTGCTCGCCTACAGCACTTCCTCCAAGAGTCCATTATGGCTATATGAGGGGGGTTGTGCGTGTGTGTGCGTTATTCTGTGTGTGTTATTGAGGCAAGTCCCATCAGTGTACTCATCTGTGGAGCAAAGCTGCATTTGCTTTGTCGTGTAGTCCCGCATGCCCAGCTACTTCCAAAATGTGTGAGCTTTTGTTCAGCTGGATAGATGAGACAATACGGATGGGGGACAGGCTAGAGAAGACACTGGCTGTTGTGGTTTAAGAGGAAGCGATGATGAATGAGTGGCCTTGCCTAAAGCTGGTTGCAGTTTTGTCAGCACAGACTTCTGTCGAGGAATCTTGTGAAAAGGGTCACCAACAACAGCCACCCGCCAGCAATTCAGCAACAATAAGATGTCGAGCAATGCTCATAACAATGTTCTGCACATTGTTATGAGCAAACAGTTGCATTTGACACAGTGGAGAGTGTCGGTGGGGCATCTGAGCGGACTACATGGCTGGGTTGGTGCCAGCTTGCACCGATAAGGCTTGCTGCTGTGATCACTCAGGCGTATTAACCCAACCCCATTTTGCCCGGATTAGCCATCCAATAAAGCTTGCTCCCCAGTAGTTGTGGGAACGTGGTCTAACACTGCTGTGCCCCCTCTGCTGCTGCTGCTGCTGGCGCGCAGGGCCTGCTGTACGTCGCCTCGTCGTCGTCGGTGCTGCAGGTGCCCGTGGCTGACTGCGGCGCCTACGCCACGTGCGGTGACTGCGTGCTGGCGCGGGACCCGCACTGCGCGTGGGACGCGCGGTCGGAGCGCTGCCGCGACACGCAGGAGGCCGAGCCCGCATCGTGAGTGACAGGCCAGACGCGCTCGGCACAGTCGCTCGCACCATCGGAGGCGGCGCACCGGAAAATATAACAACTGGTTAAAGTTCAACCTCGTCGTTGATGCAGAACCCTGTGACCAAATCGGCCGGAATGGAACCCGCTCACGTCATATCTTGATAGGATTGATCCTGAATAGCACTTGTATGGGTGACCGCCGTCATGCATGAAACAGATGTTATAGGCTGCTGTGGGGTTACATTGTCAGCAGGGGAGCAGTGATTAGCTCACTGCTTCATACCGCAGTATGCTGGTGCGCCACAGTGGTGAGATGTTAACTACCTCGCCTGGTATACAGGAGGTCATGGGTTCGATCCCAACCCTTATTGCCTGTATATTTGGAGTTTGCATGTTCTTCCAGTGGATACATTTCCACATAATGAGTCACTTCATTGGGCTTTCATTTATGGCCAGGTCGCTTCTGAAAAAGAGCTTTATAGCTCAGTGGACCTTATTACCTGGTAAAATAAATTAAGTAATGTTGTGCTAATCACTGCGCCACCGCTCTCTCATCGTTAGGATATCTGAACGTAACTGTGATTAGGCCTCTTGCACGTGACTGCACGTGATTTACTGCTGCCTGTCGTGTGCCTCGCAGCGCGTGGATTCAGGACATTGAACGTGCGGACGCAAGCGGCCTTTGTCCCGCTGACCCAGGTGAGTCGAAAGCGCATGAGGTACGGGAGTCTTCGTGGTTTGGAAAGACATCTGGGAGCGTTGGCACTTTAGCCACAACCACACAAGCGATGCAATGTTCGATTCCACAGATGTCTTGTTATTCTGACGTTTAATTGGTCGTTTAAGCGGGCTATTGATCATCAAGGCAGGTAGAATGTCTCGCAAGAAAGCCCTGGTTTTAATTTTAACCTTATTTATGACGGAACTATTCATTAGTACCGATGACCAAATCACCTGGAAAATGCACCCAATCTAATCACTAGACTTGTACTGAACTGAACCGTTACTGCAGATACATGTGAATTGAGTTTTAGTGATGGTCATTACAGGAATTATTATTTAGGAGGAACCACATCGCATCATTCAACTTCTCTGTTTTCTTTGTCACCAAGCTCTGGTTGGGGCACTTGACTTACAACTGGAAAGTTCACGATTCAAAAATACGGTCATTTGGTACAAAGTTAACCGAGCATTTGTCCAGGGTTGTTAAAGTAAATACTGCTTCGTTAGAACTCACCAGTGGTCCCTGTGAATAGACTAATCCATGCAATCAGAATGCAGAATTTCCACCACGAGCTCTGGGGAATTCAATGGAAATTGACACCGTTACATCGCTCGTTTGAGCAGCGAGACAAACTTCTTGGCTTGAATTGAATTCTGCTTCAAACAGTGCTGCTCTATTTGCCCTGTGCTTGACCGCAGTGGAGGAAAAGGAGGTGAGGATCCAGGCGGGCTTGCCGCTGCTCCTGCGCTGCACGCCACCCTCTAACCTCGCGACAGAGCAGTGGGAGCACGACGGCAGGCAGCTGACCTCGCAGGAGGTGGCCTACACTGTCTATCCCCGCGTTGGGCTGCTGCTGTCCTCGCCCGGGCCCCAATCCGTCGGCTCCTACATCTGCTACACGCTCGAGGGCGGCTTCAGGCGCGCTATGGCGAGCTTCAACGTTCGCATGCCGCCGACCACAACGACTACCACCACCACCACCACCGTGCCCACCACAACCGTGCCTACCACTGCCGCCACCACCACCACCACCACGCCCGTCACCGAGATCACCCCCGTGGTGCACAAGAATTCCGACTTAGACGGTTCGGGGTTGGACGAGATGACCAGGAACAACGCCTCCTTCGCGCCCACTGCCACGGCGCCCAGCACCACCGCGGGCTCCAGCAACGAGAACGCAGGTAATGGCGAAAGATCAAAGTCGTTGTCACGTACTCGGGAGGAGACACCGGAGGTTGTAATCAGACCGCAGACGCAAATGCAGGCGCAGTCGGGCAGCGAGGGCGTGGGCATGGTGGTGGCCCTGGCTGTCTCGTTGGCCGTCAACGTGCTGCTGCTGCTGTTCGTGGTGCACCGCGCGCGCGAGTGCAAGAAGCGCGTGGCACGGCTGGTGCACTGCGAGATGCCCGAGCGGCCTTGCACGCCACACGGCACCAAGGCCGGGCAGAACCGGGCAGATGCGGTCACGCCGGTGCGGTCACCCACCCACTGCATAAACATGGACCCCGACACGAAGTCGCCACTCATTGGAACGCCGGCTTTAAACGAATCGCAGGCGTAGCGGCGGCAGTGAGACGAAGAAGTCGCGGAACGGAACGGTGTGCTTGGTCGCATTTCACGCAACTGCCAAGAAACTGACTAATCCTGTATTGAACTTCGGCTGGGCTCACGCTGTGGGTCGTCTTGTCGGCAATGAGGAGATGGATTAGAATTCTGGATTTGCAAAGGTTGATTCATAAACTTTTCAACCGGCAGCTTTAAAACTTTCATTGTGCTACGCGATTGAGACTTTTATCTTTTTTTACAAAAGAAGCAAGAAGGGTACGAAGACGGACACACCTTGCAACTGATTTTCAATTCATTATTATTGAGAATCGCAAGCCATAAGGCTGTATGTACAACAATTACTTTATGATTACCTTAAAGTGAATCCTGTATTTTGAGGTTATTCGGAACTGAAAATTAAAGCAGCACAGAATCTATTTCATTTCAACAGATAGGTGATAACAAACAACGATTGATGAAACGTATTGAGTTGATCTTTTTTTTTTTTGCAACTGCTCATTCGTTTGTACACTGTTTGCCGAGAAAAGCCTTTTTCCTTCTTAACTGTCATTGGTTTTAACTGCATTTATTTTCATCGGATGAGAATTTACTGTCTTCTGCACTCGTTGTCAATCTGGGAGCTCGCTTGGGTTGCGTTTCGGCAAGTAGCCTTTCATTGAAGTGTACATTTTCACATTTTAGGGCAGCTATGTGTGTGTTTTTTTAGGGCAAGCAAAGTGGTAAGTGTATAATTACATTTTTATGACAACAAGAAAAAAAGATAAATCTTTTGGCCGAAAGTGTGTGCATTTTTTTGTAAGAGCCTCCTGGCTTTGTTGTTAAAGCCCTTCCACTGCGTGAACGTCTGGACAAGTAACCCAGCTGTGCACCTTAGTTTGGTTCTCTGAAGGACTTGCCATCTCTCTAGCCTGCTCCTTCAGTTTTGAATTTTGCTACCATAGATATAAAAATGCTGCCCCCTAGTGCCTGTGCGTGTTTGCGTGGTTTTTTTGGAGCTTCCAGAAGTGGTCTTTTTTTTGCGTCGTGGGCAATGTGGAGATTTGTGGGGGGAGAGGGACTGTAGATTTGATTGGCCAACTCATAACACACATTGTGTTGTGGAGCCCGTGGAAAAATTAATCAATTTGGGTTCCTGCTAAGCAGGAAGCTGCTCCTCTCCGACAGTGGCACATACTTGCATAGCTCGAGCTCAGCATTGAGCAATGCCCATCAAGAACCAGGGAGTGGCCAGCCAATGTGATGTTCACCACTGCTGGCAGCCACACAGAGTCCTTGAACCATCCTTTAATCAACCTTCCAGGCATTACGGGGTTGTGTAACTGTGCACGTGCTTTTTGACATCCGCTTAGTTGCACAATGCTTTTGGTGTCCGCTCGCCCACGCCGCAGTGTTAAACGCGGCCCATTCCCTTTGTTGTGTTTCACGTCCATGGCCACGCCGAGAACGGTGTACATGTTTCACGTCCGTGGCCACGCCGAGAATGGTGTACATGTTTGACGTCCGTGGCCACGCCGAGAACGGTGTACATGTTTGACGTCCGTGGCCACGCCGAGAACGGTGTACATGTTTGACGTCCGTGGCCACGCCGAGAACGGTGTACATGTTTGACGTCCGTGGCCACGCCGAGAACGGTGTACATGTTTGACGTCCGTGGCCACGCCGAGAACGGTGTACATGTTTCACGTCCGTGGCCACGCCGAGAACGGTGTACATGTTTCACGTCCGTGGCCACGCCGAGAACGGTGTACATGTTTCACGTCCGTGGCCACGCCGAGAACGGTGTACATGTTTCACGTCCGTGGCCACGCCGAGAACGGTGTACATGTTTGACGTCCGTGGCCACGCCGAGAACGGTGTACATGTTTCACGTCCGTGGCCACGCCGAGAACGGTGTACATGTTTCACGTCCGTGGCCACGCCGAGAACGGTGTACATGTTTGACGTCCGTGGCCACGCCGAGAACGGTGTACATGTTTCACGTCCGTGGCCACGCCGAGAACGGTGTACATGTTTCACGTCCGTGGCCACGCCGAGAACGGTGTACATGTTTGACGTCCGTGGCCACGCCGAGAACGGTGTACATGTTTCACGTCCGAGGCCACGCCGAGAACGGTGTACATGTTTCACGTCCGTGGCCACGCCGAGAACGGTGTACATGTTTGACGTCCGTGGCCACGCCGAGAACGGTGTACATGTTTCACGTCCGTGGCCACGCCGAGAACGGTGTACATGTTTCACGTCCGTGGCCACGCCGAGAACGGTGTACATGCACCGCGACGGGTGGGATGATGGCGCCATCTGAATTGCGCCGCCTCGCAAGGGGCACTGCAATGGGCGTCGCATCGCTGGAAACCTGCACCTTTGTGCACCTCGCTTGTTTTTCCACGTCAAATGGAGCTTTTTTGTGCGTGCTTCATTGCAACGGTTTAAAGCATGTGGGTTTGTCCGTCGTGTCGCCAATTCACAGGGAAAATAACGTCGCGTGTTCAATCGAGTGTGTGAATATTTTAAGGGAATCGGCGTTTTTGTCAGTTGGTTATGTTGTCATGTTCAAATAATCTTGGGACGGTACTCATCTCCGATGGTGGTCCTTGGCCAATGGTGAAAATTCCACGTTTCTATGGCGGGGGCCTTTCTGCTGTTGACTTCTCGCAAGGTGGCAGTCATTTTAATTACCACAGAGAGCTGTTGGCCTGGGTCGTCCACCCCAGCAAGGAATTTTACTTTCAACCGTCTGACTGTGAGTCGAGCACTCTTGCTGCAGTGTTAACTGGACTATAAGTAAAACATTTTTGTTGTGTTTTGATAGTTTTTAAACTTTAAACGTCCAATTAAAAATGTGCACAGTCCGAGTAAATCTAAAATTTGCACGGGGTATAGTCCTGCATACACACGGGCTCGTGAAACACTGGGTACGGAGTGGAGTGGTTGTCCAGACATCATGGTTAAACGGGCCATTGTTTTTATGCCTTTATTTTGTTAAATTAATCAATCGTGGGAAAATGAAATTACCGTAACTGTACTTTATCAAGACAAATTGGGACCGGGTGCTTTTTGCCAATATGTCTGAAAGTATTTTTTTATATATATACCTGTGGGTCTGTAAAACAGCAAGAATTAAGGGGAAGAGCAACACACGTTTTCGTAGTTAGAATTAGCACTTAACAGGCTTGGAACAAACAAACAAAAACTGCAAACTGTCATCGCACAATTCTGCAATGGGAAATTTTTTTTTAGGAAAATTATTGGATGGGTCTGAGGCAGGGGTTGGAGAAGGAGGTTGGGGTGCAGGTCATAATACAATTGCTATGTATCGTATTAAAATCAAATGGTGAGATGTGAATTGTGAGCGAGTTAAAGCTTGTCTGTACAGTTCCTTATTTTTAATTTTTAAAATAAAAACTTTTTTTTCCAGAACTCTCACATGTAATTTTTGTTTTGGGCTTATTTGTTCGTATACCGAGGAATGCAAAACCACCGTCTTTTTTCAATTCAAAAACGGTCGCTACCCTATTTTTAGTTTGTTTATTAAAGTACTTTTTTTAAAGCTGTAAACCAAAAGCATCATTATTTTATGTTGCTCGAGTAACTCGCCGGACGACCTGACCTTGAATATAACACGACGCTTTATCAAGAGCGCAAAGCACGCCGAGTTTCCTGTTACGTTTTCCTGTTTAGGACATCTTTTTGCCTGCTTATTATCACTTTACTTTGCATGGAACCAGTGGAACGCTGCATCGTTTTTCTGAGTGCCGTTCCCTGTTTCAGATTCTCACTGCGCACTTTTGTCTCTCCCTCTCTGTCTGCCATCCCCCTTGTCCTCTCGCCTGCGGCCTTTTTCCAGCTCGCTCCTCCTCTTCTTCATCCTCATCATCTTCTGTCTCCTTCGCACTCCCTCATGCCACCCTCGGCTCTAACGCGGCTCGTCTGCGCCTCTCCTCCTCCGCCGCTCCGTCCGTGGACCCGACGGCGGCGGCCGCCGTCGTCTTCGCGTCCTCCAAAGGGCCCCTCGGGGCGGAGCGCCCGGCAGCGCTGCCGCCGCCGCCGCCACCGGTGACACTGCTGCCGCCGCTCCTCTCTGAGCAGAACCAGAGTTGGTGCGGCGTGCAGCCGGTGCACCTGTTCTGCCGCGCCAGCGGTAAGCGCCGCTTCACCTTGCCGCCCCACCGTGCCGCCGCCCCCCCCTCCCCTGCTCTAGTGCCGCGTCTCGTGCAGTGGTGAAGCGTCGGCGGGGGGGGGGGGGGGAGATGGGGTATAGACTTGCTCACGAAATTGAAGTGTTTTCTCTACCCCCCACTTCTTGTATGGTGGACATGGTGGACATGGGGGGGGGGGGGACAAAAGGACATTTAGCTCTGGACATCAATGCAAACTCCTTCCCCGTTGCCAACTGGGAAGCAGTGTTTATTTCTATTAAATATCACAACCACTTTCTACACGCCAGATAAATTTACAGTAATTTTTAGTGGCTTTCCATTAGAAATGAAATTAAAGATTCGACATCCCAGAAATGTGATGAATTGTCGCAATTCGGTTAAAGAGGCTTTTCTTTTTTTTACAGCATTCCCCCAAGTCGGTGCTGGCACTGCAACAGAGGGAGCTCATGAGTCTCCAGCAACATGTGACCCAATTCCGCCACTCATGGTAGCATCTTCAGTAATTCAACCGCCAAAAAAGAATGCTTGCAGGCCAGAAACAAATGTCAAAATGTCATGCTGTGACATGCAAAGCATGCTGGGATTCCCATTCTCCTTTTTGCTGTTCTAGACACCTTTTTGGCTTGTGTATGGTTGCTCTTGGCTTGGAATACTAGATCGCTTCTGCGATTCAAATTTATTGTTATGACTGAGCAAAGACATTTGGCAAAAAAAAATCGAAAGAATATGCCATAAATAGAGACGGTTAAAAAGGAACCAAAACAGGTGCTTAAATTTAATAACAAAACAATTCATCAAATTGTTGAGGGGTTGTGCCGTCGGGCCGTCCATAAATGACGTCACGCATCTAGGGGGGGGGGGTCAGACATTTGTGACGATGTGTGACGAGGGAGGGGGGTTGAGAAATGTGACGTCACATGAAAATGCGCAACTTTAAATATAGACAACACGTTATACTTAATTAAATTGACTTTTAAATAAATATTTTCTCCTACAACATCAGAGTGCGGCGCCACATTAAATACGCACTACAATGACAATAGTTTAAAGCGATTTGAAGCATGTTTTCTTTGGGGGAGGGGGGCAGAGCTTTGTGACGTCATATTTGAGGGGGGGGGGTCTGACTTTTTGTGACGCCGTGTGATTAGGGGGGGGGGTCAAAAATCGTACAAAATCGCGTGACGTAATTTATGAACGGCCCCTTATATGTCTACTGTCTACCCAAACATTCAAGAATGCGCTCGGTTCTCGCTATAGAACAATGGAACGTCCACCCACCCCTATACAGGACATGAGCACCCTCACTAATTTCAACTGAAAACCACTTTCACATTTGCAATATGTAACGCAGTGATCCACCGCCGTGGCGAATCCAAACATTTACACAGCTACACTTGGCATATCAGCCCCCCCACCCCAACCCCTTGGGCACTATAACATGCGGTGCTCACGAGGCACGCGTCTGAAGGAACACGTGACCAGATTCCGTCTCTCATTGCCGCATGAGCCACACGTCGGAGTGCGATGATGTCATCATTGGGGTGCTGGCATCATTATTTTGTTGTCATTTAACCCACGTGCAGTAATCCCGCCACTATACACCCCACCTCGCTTTGCGTTTCTCTCCACTCATCGATTTGTGTTTCCTGCTTGTCATACTGACAAACTGAAAGTGCGTACAGTATTGCTTGCATCACCACATCTGCTCTTAGTTGTTTATTTTGGCCTGCGCATGCCATATATGAAGACAGTTTGGTTGAAAAGTGCTGAAAATGTGTGGGTTGAGTGGTGCGATGACTAAGTATTTCTGAATTCCCAATTAAGAAAATATTACGCTGCACTAATTGTATTCCCAGTTGTTCATCCGTAGACGTTTAATTGGCCGTGTCGGGTGGTGGCGGGTTTAACGACGCTTATGTTTATGCAATTTAACCCCTCAAAAAACGTATGCTATAGACGTTTCTTCATCAAACTTTGCTTCTGACAACCCAGCAAAAAAATGGGAACAATACTAACTAAGCCAATTTAAGTATTCAGCGGAGCAGTGATACTGGGAAAAGAACCACGACGTAAATTTGTTCAGTCCCATCATCACCACTGAGCTAACAGAAGGGACAGGTAATGATAACGATGTTGATTATCCTCCCCTTCACCCCATGGACCCCAACACTATGGGGGCATCCAAAAGCTCAGTAACTCTTCGTAGTCGCAGCTTCAAGATGCGCAACGGCCCAGCACCGCCGTTCGCAGCATGGAGTCCTCACGGGCCGCTCGGCCCTGCAACACGCGTGCACACAGGTCCTCCGGACCTCTCCGTCACGTGGGCGCGCGACGGCCAGGAGCTCAGCAGAGTGGACTACCACGTGGACGTTGTTCCCTCGCACGGAGGCTCCCTCGCCGTCGCCACGTCCTGGCTGAGGGACGCGGCGCCGGGGGACGTTACGTACACCTGCTCCGCTCGTTGGCGGGGGCAGGCCAAGTCCTCGAGTGCGCTCGTACGACGGGCAGGTGAGCCCGGCGGCCCAGCAGGTGCCCTCCTGTGAACGTGCGCGTTCTGAAATTAGCCCGTGAGCCGCCAAGTGGTTTGGTTGGTTGGTACCATCTGGGGTGGAAAATGCTACTGTTGTCCACCATGGGCAGTGTCTACACTGAGCAGAAAGTGTAGCCTACACGCTGTTTTTTTTAATGCACGTAATATTTATTGTGGTATTCCATAGATGATTCATATCAGATGCGGTTTTCCCCCAAAATTATTTTCTCTATTAATATACATTAGTACCCTCATCTCATGATAGTATTGTCATAAAAGGCTATGATAGTGACCTTGTTATCATACATAGGTGTATTTTACAGATAAAATGTGTCACGAAAATCATTGGTAGCATTTGCCACCCTTAGTGGTACCAAACAAGCCATTTTTGGGGCAAGGACCAAGTGACAGCGTTTGCCATAAGCCAACCAAGCAAAAGTATTCTGGCCCCATGTAGTTCGATTCATGAAAAAAATGGGTAAATCAAATATCTCAAGTTCAATTCCGAATAAACATAACAAGCAAATGCATCTTGTGTTTCCTAACTCTGAAAAATACATTTTGATCTCGTATCTCTTGACTAACCGAAGGGATTTCCTCTCATTCTAAAATCTCATATGAATACATCTGTCCTGTCATTCTCATATCTTGTCTGAATACCTCTATATCCATATCCATGTTATCTTGCTCATAGAATATAAATTTCTTGCAGTTTACCAAGCTCAATGAAGTTTCTACGTCCCTGACAATTAGTTGGAAGCTTTATATATTTTTATGTTCATTTAAAATCAATCAAGTTTAAACAATGTCAGCTGCCGAAGTGCCTTATCATAAAATTTGTGTAGGTTTGGATACTAAAGATAATAAATAATACACCTCTGCCTAGAAATCAGATGCATTTTCACAATTTAACGTCACTATTCATGCAAGATTCAATTAAATAATTTCCATTGTAATATTTTTTTTTATAATTATGTGGCGCTTAAATACTTCACTAACTCAAAGCTCCTTACATCACATCTGAAATATTCCATGGGAACCCCGAGTGGCAGCTGTCCCTGTGCAGCACAAGACGAATCAGCACTGCCCTGCAAGTGGGCGTTCGTCTGCCAGTAAGGGGTGACGACTGCTAAGTGTAATTGCAAATGAGTAATTTGCAGGTATTTATTTGGAAGTTGTAAAGTGTGGACCATTACACCGACACACAAACGCCTATTCATTTCGAATTATGTCAATAGAACTTTAAAGTCAGCTTTTTTATGGTTACAACACCCGATTTAATGTTAGTGGCTCCTAGTGGCTGGTAGGGTTACCTGAACCCGTTACATACAAACATTGATTTTTGCACACGCATTTCGATAGAGGTATCATGGTCTTAAGAGTCAATTTTAAATAATGAACCGGTGCAGCATTACACCCCTATCGAATGCTGTACATTCACTAACTCTGCCACTGCACTCTCCGCGCCGGATCAGGCTCTGACACAGATTATCAGGATGCATGGAATATGGAGTTTGTACGATGGAAAAGTGCAGCTCG